TAGGAATCAAGAGCTTCACAATACTTCTTTTGCTCACAAAGATCATGGCCAATACATAAGAAACTACAAGATATATGACCATAATAAGTTGGATAATAGGTTTTTAGAATTGAAAGAGCTTGTTGATGAAACTCTAAAGCTTGATCATAGTTCTTTTTTTCTTTTCCAAATGCGAAGCCAATTCTATATAATGTATGAACAATATTCATGTGATCAAATGAATAATATTTCATTTGTATTAATAAATGTTGTTGATAGAGATCTAGAGCTTCGTCATACTTTTCTTGTGCAAATTTAATGTCCCCTAAGTTGTTCAAACTTATCACTATATCGATATGACCGAATGGATAAAAATTTTTTTGTAATGACCATGCTTGTTGCACAGTATCAAGAGCTTCATCATACCTTTCCTGTTGGCTAAGAATAGCACCCATATGATTAAGAGTTGTAGCGATGTATACATGATCCAATGGATAATTCTTTTTATAGATTGACATTGCTCGTTGATGATAATCAAAAGCTTCATCATACTTTCCTTGTTCAGTTAGAATAGAACCAATGTTACATAGATTAGTAGCAATAGCGACATGAAAACAGTCATCATATTTTTCTCGAATGGTCAGTGCTCGTTGAAGAAAGATGAGTGCTTCATGGTATTTTTGTCGTTGTTTTTGAATAAGACCAATGTTTTCTAAAGAAGAGGCAATATTAACGTGCTCAGAAGAGTAATATTTCTTTCGTATTGCTAATGCTTGTTGATGAAATTCTTCGGCTTCTTCATATTTTCCCTGTCGATATAATATTTCACCAATATCTGAAAGTACAAAAGCAGAATATTTTATAGATGCTGGCTCAACTTGTGTCATTCGATTAAGTGCACATTGATAATATTTTCGTGCTTCATTCCATTCTCCTTTCCAATAATGAGCTTGACCAATATGATGTTCTATTAGTGCTAAATCTTCTTCATGTGAATCATTCAACAGGTGTTGAAAATATAATCGTGATTGATTCCATTGACTCATGTCACATATTAATTTGCCGAAAATAATTGAAATACTTAAATCTTCTATTTGTCGATGAGTATCATCAATATATTTTTGTATGATAGCTCGTGCATCATTGACTGCAGTCATTTTAATGATCGCGATTTGTTTCTCTTCCTGAATATTTTCTAAATGAAACGTAGCATTTAAATCAAAGAGAATTTCTTCTTGATGTAAACATTGATTAAATTGAGTAATATTAGCAAAACTAAAATGATCACCAATCTCTTGTAGATTGCATTCAATTTGAAAAACAACACTAATAAGATTATTTCGTTTTTCAGATTGTGTAGTCAAAGGTAATGCTACTAAAGGAGAACGACTAGCTGTGAAAAATTCTTTTATTGAAATAAGTTTATGTTTGTTGTGTTTTAATTTATTAAATTCATTTTTTGATAATATCATTTTTCGATAAAGAATAAAATATGTTGTACCAGATTGGACAATTTCTTGATGTTCTCGAGCAAGATTTTCAATAAGATCACCAAGAAAATACCTTAATTTATAAAGTAAATCGATGTCTTCCATTCGCAATGCTCTATTAATCATTTTTCTCAGAAATGAACTCTTCAAATACCATCGAATAGCTTCGTTCGATTGATATTTTCGTTCGAATTCATCGATCAATAAAAGTTCTTTGAGATTTTCTCGATAGTAAAATCGACATGCATCGATCATCTGTTTTTTACTTGTGTCATCATGTGGTAAATGCAAAATAACATCATGAAACAGTTGAAGCCAAAGAAAATTACTTGACTGTTTTGTTAGACCTTTTGTTAAATACCCATCTTGATCAAAAAAAGTCCATTTATCGAATTTTTTATCAATAAAATTGATTTGTTCTTCAATTGATGAATAAAGTAAGTCGAATTTATCATAAATACCAATTATTTTTGAATATTCGACAAGTAAATATTCTTATTGAGATTTTTTATAAGAAAGTATAAAGATAGAATCAACTTGATTTAGATTGTTAATATAAGGCAATATTTGAGAAGAAAATGAATCGGAAATAATGACAAAGACTTTTTCGTTTTTTATTGATTGAATAAAAGTGATACAAGATTCAAATTCACTTTGAAAAATGATAGAACTATTCAGCTCATTCAATTGTATCTTTAAATATTCTGTATCGTCAGAGAGTTCATTGTTCGGATCAAAGCAGACAAGAATTATATTCTCATTGTTTTCATCAATGTTTCTTGATTTGGATTCATCGTGAAAACAAGTAGTGATTATTCTATTAACTGATAATGTTGCCATGATTAATGAAGATTAATTTGATTTGAATTAAAATCAATATCGTGTTTTTTACTGAAATAAAGAGAAAACGATTATAATGTTGAAGAAATTCTGCCAACGAATATGTATGTGCGGCATCGTTCTAAGGATTACATAAAACTAACAATTGAAAAGCTCTTATTCTATGCATAATTAGCGTTTACAATATCTGCAGCAAGTTATTTTGTATCACATCGAATAATTTTGATCTTTCATTTTCTAAGGTGATGAGTTTTCAGAAGTTTCTATGGAAATTTGTCAAACAAAAATTGAAAAACTAATAGCATTCACACACAAAAAAACTTTGACATATTGTTTTGATCATTTTCGATAAGAACAAGGGAAAAGAGCACTATACAAATGATTTTTTTCAAGTTAAATTTTAGAAAAAAAAAATGGTTCTTTACATACATGCCAAAATATTGAGTTGGCAGATTGATGCGCTTTTGCTTTTGACCAGTATTCAATTATATCACGAATATATATGTATGTTATTACCAAAAGAGTGTCATTGGTTTTTTTTCCAAATAAGCGTGTCTGTTAATGTATAGGAAGAAGACATCACCTTTTCATCATATGAGTATAACACATGATAAACATTCGTCACATTATCATGCTTGTTCTCTTCCGTAATTATTCATTATTTGCTTTCGGTCTCACTGCTTCATGAGTATATCAACATTGGCACAACAGAATATGACATGTTCATATTATAGTCATTTTAAACACTTGTCTATGGAAAAAGACACTTACTAAAATCCTTTATGCAATAACAGTCATCGTTATTATTCTTCATTGTATAATTTTTAAAAACAAAATTTAAATAAAAATTTTTCTATTGATTCAATGAAAAATGTCCGGATTGCTCGATAATGTTGGTTTCTATAACGAAAAAAATAAGTCTGAAATGAGGGTTATTCCGAATTCTCTTATAAGTCTCCAGCCAATAAAAATAGGGACGAACATATATCGTTTTTTGCTAAGAGCGGCTTGTCCTCTTTGAATTTTTTCTTTGCAATTTCTATTTGATTCACTTTCATAGTAGAAAAACAAAAAGACACAAGAAAACCACTCTTTGAATAAATTGTTCCTATTAGAAATCAATTTTCTCTGAATTTCAGGATATGGGTGTAGACGAGAGTGCAGTGAATATCAAAGGACACATACTATCACCCTAATCAAAAGATTGCGTTTGAAATTCTCTACAAAATCATATATGATTGGAACCAAATATTGTTTTACAAATATGTTGAAAAAGTGAAGATTATGGATGTACAAAAAAAAGCTGTAAAAATCAAATATGAAAATTTTTATAGATCAGCGAAATTTTATCATGAGTTGTCCGAGATAGTTTCATTACAAACAATTAAATTCTGAACAAAAGATGATGAACAATACTGTCTCTATAGAGTTGTTACACTGTTTCCGATCGTTCAGGCTCAGTTAAAACAAAACTGACTGTCCAAAAAAATCAAATGGCATCTGCTCTTCAAGAAATAGCTGTCAATAAGAAAACTAGATATTGAAACGAAATGTACATCCTTTGCTATCACATAAGAATCTTAGCTTTTTCCATATAAAAAGGTCAAAAAAGTCCACCTAAAGTGATCTGCTTAAAGAGTACGATAATGTTGCAAACTGAATGCTAGCGGAATTTGGTAAATTAATGCTCTGTAAAAAAAAGGGACTAGAAAAAGAAAATAGTTTAAGATTTGTACTTGTTTTCAATGCAAAATCACATCCAATCCAAAAAATAATGGAGGAACTTGTGTTTAGAGAGAGTACAGAAGAAATATCAAACTTACTAAGAGAACAGTTTATTTTGCATCATCATATTTTAAATGATTTCAATAGAGATGAAAAGTTAATCATAATGAATTCATCTCGTCTTTGCAAATCAATTTCCATCTGATTTTGTTAATATTTGAATATCTGACTTGGATCGTAGTTCATAATACATCAGTTGTTAAAAAGCAACTGAGAATTGTTCAATGTTGGATATATATTCAATGAAATGTTCAAGAAAGCATGTATATTTAAGACAAATATATATGGATAACGAATTGTCAAACAGCAGAATTGAATTTGATCAGTTATTTCACTTGATAAAGGAATAGAAAATGGCATTAGACATTGGTGAATATTAATAGGCGAATTATCATCAGAAATATTGAACCGAATGGGTGTTAATTGACATGTATCAGAAAAAAAAATTGATTTATCAACTATTTAAATCAACGAAAAAAAGCATGGTAAATAGAATATCTAATCTACTATTCTCAATATTGAAAAAAATTGTATATGTCTTTATAAACAACTGTTTAGACAAAATATATATGTTATCACATATGATTTGTTTATATTTTCAGAGACCTCACTTGATATCTCAGGTTTTCAGCACAATCATATTTCCGAGATGCAATACTCTTTTAAAAATAGTTACTGTTCAAAAACGTCTTAATTGAAATATGTATATAGAATCTCAAATTCTGAAACTGTATATCCAATGTTGGATATGTGATTCACTTATGTAGAAGCAGTTCAAAGACGAAATTCGAAAATGTGAGTTGTCTTGAAAAGATGTTGCCATGGAGAACTATTTGAAAAATCCATCTTACAAACTCGCTAACTCCATCAAATCTCAATAGAAACTCAAATATGTCGAAATTTATCACTATATCAATATGTAATATCTACATGCAAAACAATCATTGCTATTAGAATGAAGAATCTGGAAAGATTCTCTCGTTAGCGTTTACAAATTGTTAGAAAAACCTGTATAAACGAAATTCGTTCGAAACAGCGTTTCAAAGCACTTTTTCTGTTTTTTTTTTGTTATATTACATTTACGTGACCTAGTGATACAGTGTTTGATACGATTCAAATCCATGAAAGTTATAGTAATTGAATGAAACTTGTATAACAAACTAAACAAACTTATTTTACTATTACTACATGTGTGAGATACTGAACCTCATCTATTTTCTTTCCTTATCTATTTTTTCGACCTCTAATTGCTGAAATTATAATGTCATATCACAATGCAGTTCAATCGAGACTAGACAACGTCGTTTTATTAAATATATCCACTGGATAAAATTTTCAAAGAAGTGTTACTTTTTTTTATGTTGATCCATTAAAAAATTATATGTGTGGATCTCAACTTTCTATAAATTTTATCTAAAGAAGTGTGCGTCTAAGAGTATAGCTACAGTGATACGAGTATAAGCATATCAGTGTCGAAATTTAGTTATAAGAAGAAAATATTCTCGAACTGATTGTTTACGTTTTTAATGAAAAAACACCTGTTCCAACATGTTTTATAAAATGCATGTAAACTCTAGCAAAAACATGCGGGCTAGAATAAGAAGACATTCAAACGTAATTTTTTTCAACTTTTTTCTCGTAAGTAAATACGAAACAATTGATAAAAACTTATCTTGTTGTTACCTGAATCAGATAAATGTGATGTCCATAATATCGTTGAGGTTTTCGTAAAGAGATTTATTCAGAATCGCATAGAGAAACACCACATCTCATTTTATGAGTAGACCAATTTTTTTAAATCTAGATTTCGTTCTGATTCCTAGTCTTGATTCTAGTAGTCGATCAAAAAAAATCAGTTCCAGTTTCCGTAAGCCTGTGTTCGACAGGTAATTTAAACACCTGTTGAAGAAGATTTCTATAAACAAAAAACCTCTCGAATTCATCGATTTATTCTATTTTTCGAATTAGATTAAAATTACTTTCAAATCATAATTGATTTTTGACATTTTTTCAAAAATTTAAGATTAGAAAAACCAACAACTTGTTGATTATGATGAAAAAACAAATGAAATTGATAAATAACATTATAACAATTTGAATTTGTTCCATCAAAATGAATATATTTTATACAAGAATGAAGAGACGGAGAATTACAAATTAATGGATCTATTGAAAGTGTTGAATAAATCACACAATTAATACGTCTATTTAATGACCAAAATGATATTAAGATTTCATCTCATGATCATGATAAATAGAAAAATATATTATGCAATCAACTCTATTAAATTAATGTAAAAGTGTTTTTTTGTAGAACTTGCATATATTTTCGAAGAATATAATGAGTGTAAATTTTAAATCGAAGGTTTTCGACTCCTTTTTTCATTATAGATCTTAGCAACTATTCTATTTAATGTGGTATATATGAGTTCCATATATCGACATTAAATGGACTATGCTAACAAGGTTTTTCAAAAGAATAATAAAACAACTTTTTTCTTTAATTTTGTCAAACACGATCTAAAAGGACCGTTGGTGCTATTGAGTTACAGGTGTACATTTTCGGGGATCCGAAGAACAAAAACTGAATCTGGCCTCTATCAGCTCCCGGCTTCGACTCGAACAGATCCTAACTCAAATTTTATTCCAGCAATATCCATACACTTGAATCTTGTTGCTGTACTTCTCATCTAAGAACTGAGCTTAGTATGATAATTGCCCATTACTTTTCCTTCATACTCATTGCACTATATTGGAAGGGATACATTTCATGCTCGACATTTATTTACAATAGGTACGGATTCATAAATTGAAACATATACTGATTATTTTATTTTTTATACTATGTCACAGTTTCCTTTTATTTCATGTTTTAATTTCAGTCTTTGTGCTAACAACTTTTTTTATTGATATTCTTTTTAAGAAAAACAAATTGAAATGTAATAATCCTTATTGAATTAATAGTATACATGAAAGATTGGCAATTACACTAATGATTCTTACTGATATTTATTTATAAATAGATAAACTAGAGATCACAACGAAACAAGAAATTAGGATGAAAGTTCGACTCAAGACTTAATTCTTCGTAGCACAAAATAGAGTTGTAAATGATCGATAAGTTTCTAACTAGTGTCAAAAAAGTCGTTTATGTATTGATTGTCCTTTTGAGATTCAATTTGTGAGAGGTCTTCAGAAAGATATATCATGTTATACTTATTTACATGTATCAAGTTCTTCAAAGATGGCAAAATCATCTTCAAGTACAACTAGAAGAAATCTTTGTAAACGAAATTTTCATCGGATCGGGTAAGTCTATACCATGAAAAAGTTGTCCATTTTGAAGCCTGTTTCGAGTATCGCAATTTTTACATCTATTTCTAGCATATAGCCTGCTGCCATATCGGTATCGAATTAGACTGATCAGAACTGTTGTTCAAAGTCTATCACTATTATGACTGTGAGATATAAAAAAAACAATGTTTTTCCTCAGACTAGTCACCACAGAGACTTTTATTTCTAGAAATAAACAATATATACGACTGCTTTTCATGTATCTTATTTTCAATTGTCTTGTTTTTCAAAAATTCCAAATTTCCTATCATACCATGACATAGATAACCGACTGACAAGTAAATGTTTAGTGTCTGTGCTGATAACATCTATCACTCTCATAATCAGACTTATAAAATCATGGATAATATTCGTATCCAAAAACGTAATCGCCAATGCGATGCGAAGCGAAGAGTTTCTAGGGCATGGGTGTGACTCTAGATCAGAAGAAAAGGAGAACAATAACTTTCTTAATTTTCACAAAGCTTTCTTCGCATCCGTTTATGTGCTATTTAACAGTGTTACTTAATGACTGATGAGAATATCAAGAAAATGAAAAGTTTGTTCCTCCACGAATGATACTAATATATTATCCAACGTATCTAAATAATTTACTTTATGGTGAAGATTGATATTGAAATATTTGTAGATTTTTTTTTCTAAGAAATCAATAACAAGATTAAATTGATATTCTAATTTGTGAGTTAATTGTAAATGAAGATTAGAGAAAAAAAAAGTTTTTGTCTAGTTGTTTATAAGCTCTCGGATGTTCATCCGACTTGAATTGACACCTTTTTTCTTTTTTTCTTCTGTCGTTGTTGAGGAAAATGATGATATTGTCGACAAGTTTATTTTCCATCGGAAAAGAGATTTAGTTTTGACGAAGCGGAAAAAAAAATATATTAAATAAAAAACAGCAAGACAATTACATGTTTTCTTTCAAAATAAAAAAAACAAACTCGAATAATATTTTCTTTCGTTTATTTTTAGTAGATCAGATTTTTTTTTAAAAAATTTTATTTAAGAAAAAGTTTTTTAAAAAACTTCGAATGTTTCTTCTTGCCAATAATTGGTTGATCATTATTATCATTCGATGATGAATCAATTTGATCTAATTCATCTATTGTTGCATTTTCCGTATTCTCGAATTATTTTATCATCTTGTTTTTACTGTTGTATGATGTTTATATCGACATATTTTACTCATTGTTTCAGTTTTGTATATTTTCATTTTGATTTGATGATTATTGAATTTGTTTTTGAATAACACATCTTCCCGATTATGTTGTTGATCGTTTCATTGTTGTTATTATAAAAGTTCTTGGAAATGCTTTATTAAGATCATATTTTTCTATAGTAGAGTCAAGATTTTCATCACCATGATGATTATCTACAACAGATACTAATTTAAGAAAATTCGTTGTTAGAATAGGTTTTTGTTTTGTTTTTACTTTGAAATTCTGTAGTTGAGAAACCATAGAAAAGTCGATCGAAATCAGCAAATATTTTTTCAATTGGGGAAAATAAACCATTGAATAGAAAATCATCATTATCATTATTATCTTCCATTTTAGTTTTGAGAATGAAAATTTATTTCTCATTGTTCATTTTTATTTTTATTTAAATATGAAGAAATCTATAAATTTAATTATCTCTCAGTCTTATTAATGACTTCATTATATAGTTAAACGTGATCAATAAAAGGCTGGCAGTATGAATATTGAATAGATACGTGTAGGTTACCAATTGAGTGAGTCAATCGAGATATTGCAAAGGTCGAATGTCAAATGAAATCATGTCGATAAAATTTCTTAAACAATTATAAAATACTCACTTGCATTGATATCGTTTTATAAATCGAAATTATTTATTCTTGTATATTATCATAGAATTTCAATGTGTACTGAAGTTAACTTATTTCAAACAAATGTATTGATTTTAAATTTTCGTTTTCGAAACAGATTTCGTTATCTTGAAATAAAAGAAAAATGTTCTAATGATAAGTTACTTTTTCAAAATGATAAATATATGCATTAAAAGTTAATAATAATGATAATAGAATTAAACAAACAGTTCTTTTTCTTTTATTCTAACAAAATTGGCTCATTGAAATCCTAAGATCAAGAGATTCTTTTCCAATTTCAGTTGCTTTTGTAACATGACATAATTGTCCTATAAATTCCGGTAAATGAGCTGCACCGGATAATAGATTTTCACTAAACAAGAATGAAAGATTACTTTAAATTAAATTCGATTTCATTTTTAAATTTCATACCGATAAATTGGTACATAAGATTTAATAATTTTCGTGTCTAAGCAATAAAAAAAATAAGTTTTTATTTTTATTTTTTTTGTTTGCCTTCTATAATAATTCAACCAAAATTATGTTTCGTTTAACAAAGAATAAACGCAATTGCTTTCAAAAATAAATCAAAACAAACATGAAAAAGTTTCGATCAACAGATTTGATATATCTTCAGGACATTAAAGATAACTATAATTTTATAAAGATTTCTTTACTAGTAGATCTGAGAAATTAATTCACAGTGCTCGATTAAGTGAAAACTTTAATGTCATGATTTTATGTATTGGTTGTAAGTATAAATGAGTAAAATAAGAAGCTAATTCACATGAATGTTTTTCATCATCTTTTGCTAAATCTTTTTTTCCTATTGACATTTGTAAACCAACAATATTTTCTTTACATATTTCAATTCATTGTTGATCTTGAAGTTTTTCCTTTTTTTTTTGTTAAACGATAAACGATTTGAAGACGTCTAACTAATTTTTCTAATTTTAATCCAACTGCTGGATAAAATAATTTTGGTGAATATCCATCACGCCTTAAAAATAAAAATAAAAATTTAAGAATATTTATTAAATAAACAAATAATTTATATATTTGAATAAAAACATACAAGATCAGATGATAATTCAATTTCAATATCACCTCAGCCTTCATCTTCAATTTGTACTGCGCATCATCAGCCCAATCTTCATCATTTATTGCTAGTTCATCAGTATGAAGATTTACAGCAAGTTTTACTGTTATGTTTGATATTAAACCTGCTTTGCCTCTTGTTGACTTATTGGACACGGTGGTAAAATTAATTTAGCATTCAGATTTATTTCAAAGTAACTAAAATAAATAAATATTTTATTTCGAATTATTAAATTTAATTCGAAATTAATATTGATTAAATATATGTTTATCCTATTATTTCATATCTAACATATCAATTAAATAAAGAATAAGTAATCATATCTTTGTTGAAATCTCAGTCTACCGTCTATCTACATTTTAATGCATATCAATCAGAGAAAATAAACTCAATTAACTATGACATGATGACTTTTTGCAGTCTATTAAAAAAATCTTATCATTCAATTTCGAAAAAGACTTTTGAGAATTATCATAAATTTCTTTACGCAAGAAATACAGCAAAATCTTTAGATAAATTATGCGTTGAACATAGTTAAAGATTCTTAGAAATTATATAAAATCTCAAGAAAATTGGTATATTTACACGAAAATCTACAAACTAATTTTCAAGACTTTCAGCTGCAAAATATTTGAAAATTAAAATTAAAGTTTTCTATATTGTTTTGCTTTTTTTAAACCCCTTCG